CTGTTGGGCCCAGCGGAGTGAGGCACCGCGGGGACCTGAGCGAGACCTCGCCGTTCCGGGGGGGGGGGGGGCTGCGTTAGTGACCGCAGCGACGCCCTTATAATCTGCATCGGGGGCCTGCGAGCCTTCCGATTGCTGCTCGCAAAATCACATGCGTCCATGGTACGTCATCGCCCCCGTTGTAGCAATCGTGATGTACTTATGCCCCGCATTGCGCGAGGGTACTTCGCCAGAGTAATTCCCAACCCACCTTGGTTGGGCATTCGTTTTGAATAAAGCACTGCGGTCGCGTCCTCCTCCAGCCTCCCGCCCCCTTCCCGCCCTCTCTTCGCCGTCCCTGGGGGGCTGCGATCTGCGACGCTGTCGCCACGTTCGAGGGCTGCTGGTGGGCCCAGCGGAGTGAGGCACCGCGGGGCTCGGAGCGAGTCCCCGCCGTCCCTGGGGGAACTGCGATCTGCGACTTTGTCGCCACTTTCGAGGGCTGCTGGTCCTGCGGCGTGAGGCACCGCGGGGGGTCTGAGCGAGACCTCGCCGTCCCTGGGGGGCTGCGATCTGCAACGCTGTCGCCGCTTTCGAGGGCTGCTGGTGGGTCCTGCGGACTGAGGCGCCGAGGGGATCTGAGCGAGACCCAGTCGTCCCTGGGTGGCTGCGATCTGCGACGCTGTCGCCACTTTCAAATGCTGCTGGTGGGTCCTGCGGACTGAAGCACCGCGGGGATCTGAGCGAGACCTCGCCGTCCCTGTGTGGCTGCGATCTGCGACGCTGTCGCCACTTTCGAGGGCTGCTGGTGAGTCCTGCGGACTGAGGCACCGCGGGGATGTGAGCGAGACCTCGCCGTCCCTGGGGGGGCTGCGATCTGCGACGCTGTCGCCACTTTCGAGGGCTGCTGGCGGGTCCTGCGGAGTGAGGCACCGCGGGGATCTGAGCGAGACCTCGCCGTCCCTGGGGCGTTGCGATCTGCGACTTTGTCGCCACTTTCGAGGGCTGCTGGTGGGCCCTGCGGACTGAAACGCCGCGGGGACCTGAGCGAAACCTCGCCGTCCCTGGGGGGCTGCGATCTGCGACGCTGTCGCCACTTTCGAGGGCTGCTGGTGGGTCCAGCGGAGTGAGGCACCGCGGGGACCTGAGCGAAACCTCGCCGTCCCTGGGGGGCTGCGATCTGCGACGCTGTCGCCACTTTCGAGGGCTGCTGGTGGGCCCAGCGGAGTGAGGCACCGCGGGGACCTGAGCGAGACGTTGCCGTCCCGGGGGGTGGGTGGGCTGCGTTAATAACCACTACGACGCCCTTTTATCTTGATCGGGGGCCTGCGAGCCTTCCGATTACTACTCGCACAATCACATGCGTCCATGTTACGCCATCGCCCCCGTTGTAGCAATTCTGATGTATTTATGCCCCGCACTGCGCAAGGGCCGGGTACGTCGCCAGGGTCATTTTGATTGCGACGACTACTACTACTACTGCTGCTGCTGCTGCTGCTACTACTACTACTACTGTCTACTACTACTACTACTACTACTACTACTACTACTACTACTACTACTACTACTACTACTACTACTACTACTACTACTACCACTACTACTACTACTACTCACTACTACTACTACTACTACTACTACTACTACTACTACTACTACTACTACTACTACTACTACTACTACTACTACTACTACTACTACTACTACTACTACTACTACTTTAATTCTTCTTCATCTACTACTGCTGCTACCACTAGGTGGGCGAGGATATGGGAATCATAGGAACAGCACGCAGCGGGCACGCAGGAAGATGGGAGGGACACTGGCTAAGGGCAGCAGGAGGCGAGGGAGCCATCATACAGAGCAATTGAGCTTTCAATGCGCAACTAATTAGGGAACGCATTATCAACCCCTCTTCGTTTCCATTCTCATCCCTCTTCAGGAGGCTGAGTGACGAGGCGAACATTACGGCGGTGGTGATGCCAACAATTGCGATGAAGATGATGATGTTGCTGCTGCTGATGATGATGGCGGTGATGATGGTGATGATGATGATCGTGATGGTCGTCGTGATGGTGATGGTAAATGTGAGGGTGGTGATGCTGATACTGGTGATGATGACGATGATGATGGCGACGACCATGACGATACTGATGGTGGTGTTGCTGGTGAACATGATGACGATGTCGATTGTGTTGTTGATCGCGATGACGATGATAGCGATTGCGAGCATGACGATGGTGATGCTTATGACAATCATGATGCCGATAAGGATGATGATGATGCGGCTGATGATGATGACGAGGAGGAGGAGGAAGAGGAGGACGAGGCAGCGGAGGCGCGGGGACTGAGTCACCTGACATCCGCCGACATGCTTTTTCAATCCGACGACTTCGATGATGACGACACCCGAGGGCCGACATCGAGGAAACACCCGCTGGTGGAAAACATAACATCGCTGGAGATCTTCAAGCATTGGCGAGGCGAGCTCGCTTGTCGATAAGCCCACCAAGGATTCTTCTACGAACCTTTCATCATGTTTTGCACGAGTTGTTCTTGAAGTAGTTCTGGCCGAGATCGCTCTGTTTCCATACGCTGGTGTTCGTTCTTCGAACATGCCTGCGTTCGAAGAAAATGCGGAGGTAGGCCTACAGTCGGGGCGCTGGACAAGGAACCCTTTTCGCTGGGGAGGGGCTCCGTATTCCTTGATAGTTTCGCAGCTTGCCTTAGGTTGTCCTTTGGTCCTCGATGGGAAATCGAAGCTTGACTTGTGGGAGAAAGGGGCCTCGCTCGTTCCTGATTCGGGGTTCCTTAGGTCAACGCCCCGACTGTATGTATAGGACTACCAGGAGGGACGGCCCCTGCTCAAGACTCTGGGTCGCCGCCCGCGGTGGCTCGCCGGGGCGGGGCGGCGGCGGCGGCGGCCGCACCCAGCAGGCCGAGCGCGCGGTGCAGCACGACGGCACGGGGCCGACGCTGCGGAAGGCGGCGGCCCTGGGCGCCATGGGCGGAGGAGGAGGAGGGGGAGGAGGAGGAGGAGGAGGAGGAGGAGGAGGAGGGGTAGGGGGAGGCGGAAGGAGAAGGGTCTTCTTTTCTCGCCTCCCCCCCCTCGTTGTGGCAAGATGACGGCGGGAGGCTTTCGGCCGCTTTCGGCCTTCGTGGGCCCTCGCCGGGCCTCGCGAGAGAGAGAGAGAGAGAGAGCCGACCAGGGATGAGAAGCCGGCCTGGGATGTGAAGCCGGCCCATGCAGCTCGTGAGTCTGAGCGAGCAGGCGCCTCTCTGACAGGCCTTGCCGAGCCGTCGTGGCTACAGGTGGCACCTTTTCACACGCATGTGTCGCCCAATCGTACTGGCTGACTTTTCCTTGATGCATCTCTGGCTCCAGACGCTCCCCTGAAGCAGTGCAAACGAACGAGACCTCTGGGGCAACGATAGGGGGGGATAGGCATAGGGGGGGATGCACCGACCCCCAATCGCCTTTTGATCGCCGATAGGGGCCCGATAGCCCCGACCTGCCCAGGAAGGTGCGGATTCACTATCGGGGGCCTATCGCGATCTATCGGCGATGTATCGCCGATTCCAGGTCGATGCATCCCCCCCTATGCCAGTCCCCCCCTATCGTTGCCCCTCAGGACCTCTGGGGGTCGGCGCTGCGAGAAAGCACGGCGCCAGAGCTCTGTGTCGTGGCCCTCCCCTGCTAAACTCGGCGGCGAGCTGCGCGCGGCCAGGGCGGGCGGAGGCCCCAGGACGGCGAAGAGAGAGGAGGAGCCCGCGCTCGCGCCTGGAGGGTGCTCCACGGCGAAGGCAAGCGGCCTCGATGCGGGGCCGTGGAGGTAAACGGGCGAGGAGGGAGCGGGAGGAGGAGGAGCGGGAGGAGGAGGAGCAGCGGGAGGAGGAGGAGGAGGAGGTGGAGGAGGAGGAGGGAGGAGGAGGAGGAGGAGGAGAGGAGGAGGAGGAGGAGGAGGAGAGGAGGAGGAGGAGGAGGAGGAGGAGGAGGTGCAGGAGCAGGAGCAGGAGGAGGAGGAGGAGGAGGAGGAGGAGGAGGAGGAGGAGGAGGAGGAGGAGGAGGAGGAGGTGCAGGAGCAGGAGCAGGAGGAGGAGGAGGAGGACGAGGAACATAATAACGCAGACCTAACACTGAAACGAGGAGCGCCTCGCTGGGGTCTGTGCTTGGACCCTTCGGGGGCGTCGGGGGGCCTTGTTGGAGGGGGCCCGCCCAGGGGCCCAGATCTCCGACGGCTTCATTTTGTTCGATCCCGGCGTTTTTTTCTCGTCTTTGTTCGTCGTCGGGGGCCACGGTCGGCCCTGGAGCACCAATGAGAGTCAACCCGCCTAGTAAGGATGAGCGACTTTCCAAGGTTCCCCTTGCGTGCTTCCCCTTCGGCCCACCGTTGGCCGGTTTCGCTGGCCGCGCCCCGCCCGCAGAGTGTCGACATGGCCGTCCGAGGCCTTTGCATCCCCTTTTATCGTGTGTCCTTCTTATACGGGTTGACTGTAACCCAGCAAAGCACCCTAATCTCAGCAAAGGTGTGGAGGCGGATGGATGCCTGAAACGTCGGCTTGCGAGGACGACCTCGGCATATTGTCGATACGATTACGGAGCTGACCATGCTAATTCAGGTGATGTCCGTGATATCGACATAGTGACATGAACGCGCTTGGAGCAACAAGAGGGACCGAGCGACCCCACTCCTGGAAACTGGAATGGTGAGACGCTCATGGACCTGCCACACTCTGGACTTAGGACAGTTGGAATGGTGAGAATCCGATGCCCCTGCCACAGTTTCTGGACCTGCGACGGCTGAAATCGAGCCAGAACATCATAGTGAGTCCCCTTGTGGAGATTATGGTGAGGCATGTTGTAACTGACATCGAGCCACATCAGCACAGTGGGCCTCATTTCTGGATCAAATCAATCCAGAACATTTCAAAGTGAGTATCATTTCTGGATCTACGAGGGCTGAACTCAAGCCACAAAAGCATAAAGAGCTTCATTTCTGGACCAAATCGAACCAGAACGCAAGAGTGAGTCTGATTTTTGGGTTCGCGAGGGCTGAGATCGAGCCAGAACATTCGCCCCCCCTTCTGTGGAGAGAGATTCTGGCGAGAGGAACCTTTGAATTGAAATCGAGCCAGAACACACTAGTCAGTTTAATTTCTAGACCAAGTCGCGCCCAAACACGATAGTTTAGTTTCATTCCCAGATGAGGGAGGATTGAAATCGAATGAGAACAGTGCAAGGAGCCTCAAGTCTGGACCAAATCGAGCCAGAACTCCATAGTGATATTCATGTTTGGACCAAATAGAGCCAGAACGCAATGTTGTGTCGATTCGGGACGGCCCCGGGCCGCTGCTGGACCAGTGAGACGCCTCCTCCTGGGGGCCCCCCTGTGGATATTCTGGTGAGAGGAACCTTTGGCTTCTGTTGCAGAACCCCCTAGCGAAACGCTTTTAGGGAAAGGTGCATCCGTGACGAACGCTTGTCCCCCGGGAAGAGGTCTGGATTCCTGGGGCCGCGGATTGAACAACAGAAGCGTGAGCGGATGGCAGGTTGGGGGAGGGATCCAACCACGTCGACGCGCCAGCCATGCGGTCAGGAACGGCGGCGCACGTGGGAATCGAGGGAGGTGGGGACAGGACACCCGCGCGGCAGGGGAGGGGGCAAACCTCCTCCTTCTCCTTCCGCCTCGGTGTGCCCCTCCCCCCCCACAAAAAAAACAACAACCTTAATGAGCACATTGGTTTTTTCCGGATCGGAAGAGCAGCGAAGAAGCCAGGACCCGAGGTCTGCAGCTGACCAGATGCGGGAAACACGTGAGCAGGGAGGAGTAGCAGCTTTTCAATCAAACATGCCGCCCACCATATCCGCAAGTAGCGAATGCGGTGCACATCTGTGTGGAATGTGTGCTGTGTTTGTTGTATGCGGTGAGTCTACATATACGTATGTATGTATGTCTGTCTGTCTGTATGTCTGTATGTATGTATGTACGTACGTATGCATGCATGTCTGTCTGTCTGTCTGTCTGTCTGTCTGTCTGTCTGTCTGTCTGTCTGTCTGTATGCATGTATGTATGTATGTATGTATGTATGTATGTATGTATGTGTGTATGTACTTATGTATGCATGCATGTATGTATGTATGTATGTATGCATGCATGCATACATGTTCGTATGTATGTAGGTATGCATGCATGCATGCATGCATGTATGTATGTATGCATGTCTCTCTCTATAGGTATACATCTATGCATCTATATGTATACATGTATATGAGTATAATGTATAGATAGTACACGGGTGTAACCACCAATCAGTGAATGGTCCGGAGGTTCTGCGATCACCATACCCGGCCGCAGTTTCGCAAGAGGGCCCTATGAGGCTAACTCATTGATTGCCCTTGAGTGTTGGGAGGGTTGTGGTATCCTCGCCATGTCGGGCACTCGTCGGCTCATCCGTCGGCTCCATCGAGACTGGTATAGAGAGATACCCCGAGATAGAGAGAGAGAGAGAGACAGAAACAAAACACATAATAGAGAGAGAGAAAGAGAGGGAGCGCCCACCGACAGCACTGATATAGAGAGATACCAAGACAGAGAGAGAGAGAGATAGAACAAAAAACAAATGAGAGAGAGAGAGAGAGAGTGGGCGCCCACCGACAGCCGCCCACCGAGAGCCGCCCACCCAAATCGACCCGCTACTTTCGGCAGTCTCTTTTATGTCCGTTAGGACCCCTTCAGTGTAAACATTGATTGGGGAATATTTGTGTGTATGCTGGTCGTTTGTTCCGACGCGCGGCCCTACGTCTCGGGGAGGGCGCCTCGGCCACCAGGGCATACTCCGCCTCGGACGCCAGGTTCGCCGTGGGGCCTGCCGCGGTGCCGTCTTCGTCTGTTTGGGCGCGTTCAAAGCAATAGGCGGGGCGACATTTGTTGCAACATATATATATATGTACATGTACATGTCTCTGTCTATGCCTATGTCTATGTAGATGCATCTGTGGACGTATATATGTATATGTATATGTGTATGTACATGCTTATGAACATGTTTATGTATATGTATATATATATGTGTACATTTGTATATGTATGTATACTTATACTGTTATGTATGTGTATATGTATGTGTATAGGTTTGTGTATGTGTATAGGCATATTTATATGCCTGTTTGTACATGTTGACATATATATATATATATATGTTGATCCGTCTGTGTATGCGCAAATGTATATGTATATAACTATGCAGATGCATATGTATATGGATATGTATATGTATGTGCCTATGTATCTACATATGCATACATGTGTGACTATGTACACGTATGTGTATGCGTATATGTATATGTATGTGTACATATGTATGTGTATGCATAGGTGTTTATGTGCGTATATATATGCATATGTTTCTGTATATGCATATGTAGATGTGTATGTGTGTGTACATGTATGTGTATAGGTATATGTATATGACTGTGGATTTGTATGTGTATATGTATATGTAGATGTAGGTGTAGATGTGCTTCCATGTGTATATGTACAGGAATGTGTATATGTATTCGTATATGCATATTCATTCATGTATATATTAATATACATATCCACAGATCTAGGTGTATGCGTATATGGATGTGTATGTGTATGTGCATGTGTGTATACATTTGTATCTGCATGTGTCTACGGCAATGTATTCACATTCGTACAGGTAGATGTGTATGCATATGTATACATCGTGTTTTCGTAATCTTGCTATACACAATGTATGCGCTCCATTTTTTCAGTATACATCCCGGTGTCCTCTCTCTTTGCGAATGGTTGTGTCTCTAACTCCACCCTTGGCTCGTTCCTGCCGCGATGTTGACTGTAAGCCTGGATCGGTGCTGCACGGGAGACACGACGCGTACGCCATTGCCGTCATTTCTCCCAGCCTTCCGAGTCGCCCTTTGTCCCTTCCTCTCCATGGTTCTCGTTCTTGCCCATGTTGTCTCCTCCATCATACCTTCGCGCCCCGTGCCCTCCCGCTCCTTCTCGCCGTCGCCCTTCTTCAATTTTTTGTCCCACAACTCTGCTTTGCCTGAGGGGGTCTGTATTGCTGGTGCAAGAAATCGGTGGGTGCGGGGTACTTCCCCTCTGGCGTCCCCCAGGACTGCCCCTAGTTGTTTGCCCCGGGTTCCCCAGGGTTGCCCGCACAATGCATTTCCAAGCAATGCCAAGCAATGCCAAGCAATGCCAAGCAATGCCGAGCAGTGCCAAGCAATGCCAAGCAGTGCCAAGCAATGCCATAAGCATTGCAAAGCAATGCCAACCAGTGCCAAGCAACGCCGAGCATCGCTACGCAGTGCCACGCAATGCCAAGTATGACGTCAGGCAACGCAAAGCACTGCCAAGCAGCGCCAAGCAGTGCCACAAGCATTGCAAAGCAATGCCAAGCAGTGCCAAGCAGCGCCAAGCAACGCTACGCAGTGCCACGCAATGCCAAGCATGACGCCAGGCAGCGCAAAGCACTGCCAGGCAGCGCCAAGCAGTGCCAAGCAGTGCCGAGCCAATGCGAACGCGGCGGCCACGAGGCTGCCACGGGCGGCCTCCGGGCGACGATGCGGAGGGCCCGGCCAGCGCACGGGGCGCCCACGAGCCAACCGCGGGCGGCCACCCAGGGCGAGGCCCGGCCAGCGCACGGGGGCGGCCACGGAGCGTCCACGGGCGGCGGCCGCGCGAGAGCCCGGGAGATCCAGCCGCTCAGCAGCTGCTCGGGCGGGTGGTGAGGGGGGGGGCGACCTGCGTGGGGGGTGGGGTGGAGAGAAGGGACCCGCAGGTGGCCCTTTCCGGGCCACTGCTGGCTCCCAAGGGGGCCCCGAGGGGCTCCCTTTGGGGCCCTCTTCTGCACCCCCCGTGTAGGTCACCCCCCAGGACCACCCGCCCGAGCTGAGCGAGAACCCCTCAGTGCAACCGCTGTTTGGGGAAGACGCAATACGATCGGGCCGAGAAATAAGATCGAGGTCGGTTCGGGAAGGGTACCCTCACGTTCTTCGTTTTTGTTGGCTGCTCCTGTGCATCCTGGGGGAGGGCACCCTCGAACGTTCCTCAGTTTGGCCGGCGGAGGGCTTCATGTTCTTGGAGGATGTTCTTCCGTCCCAGGCCTGGCCGTGCGAGACATGTGGTGGGGGAGGCTGGGGCTGCGACCACAGCGGCGATGACTGCGCCCCCAGGCCGTCTCCGCGGCCACAGAGCCCGCGGCTGCGTCGTCAGCGCAGAGCGACGGCACTGGGTCCGCAACGAAGGCGGCGGCCAAAGGCCGGGGCCTTCGCCTGGAGGGGTGGGGCAGGGCTGGGCATGTGCCAGCAGTGGCGGCAGGAGCGGGGGCGCACGGAGACAGAAAAGCAGGAGGAGGGGGGTAGAGATGTGATGGTGACGAGGGCGATACGCACATTGGCGATGATGATGATGATGATGATGATGATGATGATGATGATGATGATGATGATGATGATGATGATGATGATGATGATGATGGTGATCATGATTATGACGGTGATGGTGATGGTGATTGTGATTCTGGTGATGCTGATGCTGATGATGCTGATAGTGATGCTGGTGATGATGATTCATGGTGATGATGATACTGCTGATGATGATGACGATGGTGATGCTGATGGTGATGATGATGATGATGATGATGATGGCGACGATGATGATGATGATGATGATGATGATGGTGCTGATGCCGATGCCGATCCCAACGCCGCTGACGACAACGATGATGATGGTGATTATAACCAGATTGAGGATGGTGATGATGATGATGATGATGATGCTGATGGCGATGATGATGATGACCATGCTATGGTTGATTATGATGACGGCGATGACGATTATGATGATGATGATGATGATGATGATGATGATGATGATGATGATGATGATGATGATGATATTGGCCATGATTCCGATACTGATCATGATCATCGTCATTACCATGAACGTGATGTTGGTTATTGTGCTGACTGTAAAGATGATCGTGATGATGATGATGTTGCTGTTGCTGCTGATGCTGCTGCTGCTGATGATGATTGTAGGGATGCCAATGATGATGATGCTGATGCTGATGCTGATGCTGATGCTGATGATGACGGTGGTGGTGGTGGTTATGTTGATGATGCTGATGATGCTGATGATGCTGATGATGATGATGATGATGGTGATGATGATGATGATGATGATGAGGATGATGATGATGATGATGATGGTAATGATGCTGCTGATGATGATGGATGTGATGATGATGATGATGATGATGATGACGATGATGATGATGATGATGATGATGATGATGATGATGATGATGATGATGATGATTATGATGATGACAGTGGTGAAGGTGATGCTTTTGATGTGAGTGATGATTTTGATGGTGATGACGACGAAAGTGGATGTGGTGATTTTGGTGATCACGTGGTGGCATGGTGACGATGCTGATGACGATACTAGCGACCCGGTTGTTAATGATGACGATGATGGTTATGATGAGGTTGTAGATGATGATCGCTGTGATCTCCACAGGGCGAGGCTGACCCAGCGACGTCAAACTAAGCAAATCGTCACCAGGCTGGGCCAGGCAAGTCCACACCGCCCGGGCCGAATCAGCCAGGCCGAGCTCAGCACATCCACAACTCCCGGGCCGAACCACGCAGCTCTCGATCACCAAGACCGACTGGGGCAAATTCCGAGCAGCCGGGCCAGACGACCCACGCCGAACCACGCGAATCCCGAACACTCAGGCCGAACCAGCCAGGCTGAACCAAACGAGCCAGACCAAACCTGGCCAGGCAAAACTAAGCATTGCAGTAATGAGCCAAGGCCTTCACCTGTTTTGTGTATCCCCGCCAGCCCATCCAGAACCGATCCTCAGACGAGTTGTTTTGAGCAGGAAGCTGTGAAGGAGCGGGCTTTGACAAAGTGAGGGGGAGCCATCAAACTGGAGCTCGAGATTAGCCCGACCGTGCTCTCGAGCCAACCATAAAGGTCTTTTTCAGAGCTCGCGCTGGATGCTCAAACGGAAGACGGAGTCAGCTCGAGCAGCCCCGATCAGCCGTCACCCTAGAGATTTATGGGAGTCTCCAGGATGATTCTCGGGGCCACGCTTGGGCCCTCTCAAGGGGCGTCTTGGGAGGCCTTGGAGCCATAGTGGGCATCCCCCGTAAACCTCTTGTGGCCCTTCGGGCCCCTCTAAGACCAGTCCAGCAAACCCTCGATCAACACGGGGGATCCTCGATTAGCGTGCACCCGTCAAGAACTTTCACATCGCCTCGTGGGGTTTTCTTGGGGCGCTATTGGAGCCCTTCTGGGCCCCTCTTGAGGCCTTCTCGGACGATTTTTTGGCCATCTTGAGACCTCAGCCCATCGGAGGCGAATCAGCGAGAAGGCAACCACAAGCAAACAAGTCAGGTCTCTAAACGACTTTGGCGTTTTGGGGGCCACTTTGGGAGGCTCCGTGGGCACCTTGAGCCGTCTTGGGGCGGCATGCTGGAGTGCAACTTGGATCAGCTTGCGCCATCTTGTATTCCCCTGCGGCAATCTTGGACGCTCCAGACCCTCGCGAACGCCCTGTCCAACCCTTTCTTGGGAAGCACACGCAGGGGTGCCCCACTCCTGGAAGGGAATCAGAAGTTTGGAAAAGCCTACCCTTGTTCTGAAGGCTAGTGGGGCTTCCTTTCACCCAATGGCAGTCCAGACAAACTCCCAAGGGCAACTTTGTGCAAGCATGTGTTTTTGATTTACGATTCGAAATTTTAGTGGATAGTGGAAATATGGGGCGTCTTGGAGGGTTGGTGGGGTGGGCTTCGAAAAGGTCTTTTTGGGTATCTCGTTTCCGTGTCTGATCTTTCGGACGTCGCGGGGGTCGGGCCCGAATTTTGGGCAGATATCAACCAGCTTAGACGGACCCCACTCATTTCGGGTCGCAGCCCAACCAACTTGTCCACTTCCAGCAATCCAGTTTTTTTGTTTATGGGCTTTCTGCATAATTTCAGCATCTTGCGAAATGCAGCAGGCTTGTAGCATTTGGGCAATCATGTGGCTTCCTTCAGAGTCCGTGTGATTTCATAGGAAAGCCGTCGGACACTTATTTGACTTCTGCTCAAGCATCAAGCCCTTAGTTACACTCTTAATGATTATTTGGGAAGTTCGCATGGTCCCAAAGAAAAAGCTTTGTGTGAAAATCCGTACGAGTCAGTCTGAACATTTGATGACATCCTTTTGCGTCCTGAGGAGATCATCCGGTTTCCTGGTGAAGCCATGGTGATCGAAGACATATCGTCCCATTTGGGATTTTTCAAGAGGCTTAAACCATTCCGCTGGCCCCCAGGAGAGTAATAAAGTCCCCGGGTGAGACCTTTTGGGGCCTCTTGGGGACCCTCCAGGGGCCTCTTTTGGGCCTCTTGGGTGCCTCTTCGGGCATCTTTGGAGTCTCTTGTGCGCCTGCTGGCGGTCTCGAGGGTGGTCCTCTTGGGGCGGAAGGCTCGGAATGTCAGTTCGAGTTGCCTCTCCTGGGCCCCTGTCGGGGCTCTCTTGGGCCATCTTGTGCGCCTCTTGGGCTGTCTTGGGACCCTCTTCGGCCGTCTTGGGGCCCTCTTGGTGGCTGCTTGGGCCCTCTTGTAGCGATCCTGGGGCCTTCGCCGTGGACGCTGTTAAGACCACAAATGCGAACATGCTTTACATGCACGCTTTCCCCAAGGAGCTGGACGATTGTTGCTTCTTGGGGCCCTCTCGGGGATCGTCTTGGAGCCCTTTTGAGACACCTTTGAGCGCTTCTTTGGGGGGTCTTGAGGCCATCGTGGTCGTCTTTGAATGCTCCTGGGCGTGTTGGAGCCCAGCTTCAGCCAGCTTAGGTGGCATCTTGGGCATCCCGGAGGCCACTGAATGTAGATTTGGAGGCTCTGGAGGCCTTTGAGGTGCGTTGACGAGCTCGTCCCTCCACCACCACCCCGGGGCCCTCCCCCTTCAATCGGATGTCCGACCCCTGGGAGGGGGAAGTGGTGAGGGGGGCAACCAATTATTTCACACGCTTTTGCACCCCAGACAAGCGGGGGTCGGCTGATTAGGAGATCCTTCGGAATGTCTGATGATTCCTTTGAGGATCGTAAGGGGATGTGTGTGATTCCTTGGAATTTGGGAGGGACGCCTGCGGACACCTGGGGATTATCTAGAACGTAGTTAGGGTTCCTCAGGGGTCCTGAGGATTCTTGAGGATTCCGAGAAGTGCCTTAGAGGTTCTGGAGGATTCCGAGGATTTTTGGGGATTCTTGAGGCTTATCATCCTCCGATTCTGGAAGGCGCCTTTGGAGTACTTTGGATTCCTTGAGGCTTCCGAGACGCGTCTTAGAGGTCGAGAGGGCTCCGATCGGCTCCCGAGAGCTTTCCGACAGGCTTCCGAGAGGTGTCCGAAGTGCGCCCAGGAGGCTTCCGAGAGGTGTGTTAAAGGCTTCTCAAAGACATCAAGAAGGCTTCCGAGACATCCCCACAATCTGGGCGCGAAGGGGGGAGTGGGGAGTGAAATAACCCCTGGCGGCTCCCCCTTGGGAGTGCTGACGCCAGCGGCTCGCCTGAGACATCCCCGTTCCCTGGGCGCGAACGAGGGTCTGAGTGTCAGTGGGTCTGAGTGTGAATAAGGATGAGTGAGTCTGAGTGTGTGTGTGTGTGTGTGTTTGTGTGTGTGTGTGTGCGCGTCTAAATGCGAATGGGTTGGAGTGTGAGCGAGTCTGAGTATGAGTGAATCTGAGTATGAGTGGGTGAGTTTGATTGTGAGGGAGGAAGAGGAGCAGGGGGGGAATTCAGGGTGAGGCGTCGGCGCGCTCTGAGTAACAATTAGTCGACGCGGAGATCCCCGTATGTGCATACCATACTCATGTCACGTCTCGCTGAGGAACTCTGCCTGTGAGCATCTGCGTGTGAGAGCGAGTCCGCGCAGACATCAGGCGGGACAACAACGACGACGACAGCAACGACTTCAGTGACGTCCTCCTTTTCCTCCTCCTCCTCGTCATCCTTTGGACATTGGACAGTAGAGATGAGACAAACACATGCGAAGAACCGGGACGCACTGAACAATCAAAACAGAGTAGACTGTGCGTGGATCTGAGCGTGAGTAATCTGAGTGTGAGTGCGTCTGAGTGTGAGTGAGCCCAGGAATGATTGAGTCTGGGTATGGATGAGTCCAGGTATGAGAGAGGGTCTGAGTACGAGTGCGTCTGAACATGCGTCAGTTTGAGTATGAAAGAGTCTGAGTGCGAGTGAGTCTGAGCGTTCGCATGTC